TGATTGGTTATTATTTTATACAATTACAACATTTTGGCGTTTTCATTCTTGGAAAATATCGACTTCAATTCTGGGAGCGCAGTCCTCCTTGGTTGTAACTGTAAAATGTTCAAAAACCATGCGAGTATTTCCCTTATAATACTGATTTCATTTCTATGCTATCTTTAACCTCTTGAATACCCAGAGTGACAAGAATTGACCTTGAAACCTAGTGACAAGATAATAGGTATGACAAGGAATGCTGAAAGCAAAAAATGGCAAGTAATTATGACAGCTACTCACTTCTTACAGATATGATATCTTATTAACCAAGGGGTCATTAACAGAAACTTCGAAAAGTTACGAATTCGTTAATCATGAAATTGTTGTAACCATGGATAAAATGATGTCACAGTTATAGAACAATGGATTTTATGAATTCTTAACTTTATGAAGTTTCTGTTAATGGCCCCCAGGAAATTAAGATGTACTGTCCTACCCCAGATTTGGATATCGTAAGCGTTATAGTAAATAGGGAATAAATATTCATTAATGATATCCTGTAACCACCTAAAGAGGAATGTAATAGCATGGGCTTTCAATTAGAAAGCCCATGGTAATAGTCAGTTGTCATTTTATGATTACGTTTTTATTATACTTCTTCCTCTGACAACTATAGTTATGTCAGGTATTGCACGTAACACTGATTCCTTCGTGCCTCGTGTAATTTTCTGTATCAGATATCATCGTGTTTCACATTTCCTGCCAAAAGACCGTAATAACACTGCTGAGGTGTCAAGTCATTATTGTAATGAACTCTTACAACAGCGTAAATATTGTATGGATATTGTTGTTTTGTGGTGCTTCTGAGGTGATCTAAGAACTTTGGTGGTCAGCCTTGGAAATTGTCGCTCATTTTTTGTCCTTCTATTTGTTAGGATTCTTTGTGGAAAGATTAGGCCTATATGGTTTTATTATCCCACCGAACGAAGTTTGGAGGGATATAGGGAATGCCTCCGTCCGTCCGTATGCACGTCTGTCCGTCCATACGTCCGGACAATAACTCAAATACTGTTGGCCCAATTTTGTTCATATTATGTACACATACATTGTATTCCCTATGGGAGTAGAAGTTCTGCTCGAAAGCCGATTTTCAAAATGGCCGCTCATTTAAAAATGGTGGCCATTTTAGTGCCAATTTTACAGTAATTTAGGTGCAATATGTAGAACTGTAATGGCAATATGTTTCAAATGTAAAAAAAATTATATAGGACATTGATAAAGCTAGAAATATAGATATTAAAGAAGCACGTGGCAGCCATCTTGAAAAATGGCGGCCTTTACTCGTTGTTTTACGATTTTTGCTATAACTCAAGAAGTAGTGGAGCGATTTTGTTCATATTTGGTATGTGAATACTATAAGCATGGCTCACTGTCTAATGACACTTTTGGTAGGAGGTGGCCATTTTTAAAAATGGCCATCATTTTAACGTATTTTACTATAACTCGAAAAGTAGTGGAGCGATTTTGTTCATATTTCAATTTGGTATGTGAATACTATAAGCATGGTACACTGTCTAATGATACTTTTGGTAGAAGGTGGCCATTTTGAAAAATGGCCGCCATTTAAATGTATTTTACTCAGCCTTTACTTGTTATTTTACAATTTTTGCTATAACTCGAAAAGTAGTGGAGCGATTTTGTTCATATTTGGTATGTGAATACTATAAGCATGGCACACTGACTAATGACACTTTCGGTAGAAGGCGGCCATTTTGAAAAATTTCCACCATTTTAAAGTATTTTACTATAACTCAGAGTAGTTGAGCGATTTTGTTCATATTTGGTATGTGAATACTATAAAGAAAAAAAGCATATTACTTCTTCTGATGACAACTAAACTAGTGAGCAACCATTTTGAAAATGGTGGCCTTTCTTATTTGTGTTATTTTATGATATTTGCTATATATATTTTGTTTGTAAGAATGCCAGCCATTTCTGTTCGATGGGATTTGCTACATTTGGCGTTGCCGTTCAGGTTAATCTAACTTAGAGATATTTCAAGATTCCAACTGGCAAATTTTATGCAATGTTATTTTTCTAATAATAATTTCGTGATGAGCTAAATCTGTCGGAGGAATTAAAGCCTAATCACCAGCTAGGTTGTAAGGTCATTTAATGGTGACATAAAATGGTATCAGTTCGATTTACAATCATATTACTTTGATCCAATAATGTTTTAGCATATTCTGTACAAATTTTGTGAGAATTGAGTAAAATCTGAAGAGATGTCAGATACTTTTATCTTATTTATTGATCACCCTGTATTTTATAACATTTTCAACTTAAAGTTTAAAAATAGAACGAAAGATGTAAAAACCAAGAGAAATCCCCGGGAATAGTTCTGATACAGGATCTGATACAGGATTTTGGCTGATTCGGGATCTATTTAAATATGTTATTATAAAAAAAAAAATGTATACACTTTTTCTTAAAGTAAGTTTTAGGCCTACGAATAAACAATCGCCCTAGTAAGTTTGTCTCTGGTTCAGTCAGTGGAATTTGCATTTGCAATTAGGCTTTAAATCAACATGCGCTTTTGCGACTTTTTGTAATCACTATTTATTGATTTGAAGAATAAGCTGAATTAAAAAAGTGTAAGAACGGGTAATACTGATTAACGACCCGTCATGTAAAACGAGGGGCAGACCTTGATATGAGCTTTAATTTAGTAAGTTTTGTAACATCTTACAAAACTTGGCGACTTGATTCTGTATGCCATCATAGAACTTAGTATTATAAGCATGTGTGTAAACATTTTCAAATTATTTAGTCCGATTATGCATTCTATTAAAGGTGACCTTCTTGGAGGTTTAAGCAAGAAGAAATAAATCAGTATTATGGTTGTTTTATAAGGGGTGAAGCAAGTCCTTTAAGGTGAATGAAGAAAAATTAACCTGGAAAATGGAAGATGTTTAAACATACAGTAAAACCTGTATATAGGAACACCTATGGAACCACAAGGTGTTCAGTGTAAGAAGGTGTTCACTGGAGGGGGATTTTATACAGGAGTCAATGTAAAATGTGCAATGAGGTGGTGTTCACTAAACACGGGTGTTCACTATAGAGAGGTGTTCACTAAGACAGGCTATACTGAAAATATATATGCTCCAATACCAACAGTTCTTTTATTCAATCTACTCTTCTCACCTCACCCTCATTCACATGAAGGACCCACTCATCCATCTGTCAGTCCATTTTTTGTCGGTCCTTTAGCAATGTGTGGACAATTGAAAACTGAACTTTATCTGAACCAATGCAGGCCATCCAACTGTCCAGCAATTTGCGTATTTGTCACGCATTTGCTGGAAAATTTGAAGTCACAACAATTTGTTTGCGTGACAGAATATGTCACACAAATACGCATGTTACCAGATTTTTGTCAAGCAAAAATATTTCTGTAGAAAAACTTCAAAAAATGATCACCGATACAGCAAAAAAACAAATGCCAAAAACGCGGATACCGTATATGTCACGCATTTTCCTCGAAATATTTTATTTCTACCCCCCCAGACTTGGACCAAGGTGTCCACAATTTGAATAAAGGTGTTCAACATTTGTAAGTCACTCTTATTAGTGTTTCCAAGTTGACAGGCCTGCCAATGTTACTTATCAATTTAATGGGAGTCTACGCTGATTAGTTTACACTATTGGGTTCAGAATGGCTGAATAGTCCAAGCTTGTATTTTTGCCTCATTTTGGAAAAATGTTTTTCTTTCCAATAACTAACTTTTGCTTTTTCAATATTTTACTTCGCCTCCTCTTGAGTAATAGGGCATTTTTCAATAATTTACTTTGGCCTCCTCTTGAGTAATAAGGCATTTTTCAATATTTTACTTTTGCCTCCTCTTGAGTAAATGGGCATTTTTCAATATTTTACTTTGGCCTCTTCTTGAGTAAATGGGCATTTTTCAATAATTTACTTCGCCTCCTCTTGAGGAAATGGGTATTTTTCAATCTTTAAATTTCGCCTTCTATTGAGGAAATGGGCATTTTTCAATATTTTACTTTTGCCTCCTCTTGAGTAAATGGGCATTTTTCAATATTTTAGATAGCCTAGGCCATGAATTACAATACCAATCTGTTGATCTACATGGCTATAAATCATGTTTTGATTAGATCATCACTCTAATCAGTTTTCTCATTTTGTACCTGTTTGTTATTGTTATCTCTATTAAAATCTACTTGCAAACTATATCAATGTGATACCTGGGATCAATAAATAGAATCAAATTTGAAAAAAGGCGAGCAAGCATCAATAAGGCAAAACTGAAAAAACTAATTAAGACCTTAGTTTCAAAGCTTCAAAGTCTAAAATAATATCTATATTGTTGTCGCCTTGTGCTGACGACCTGGCATGTTGGTATATGCAAGCGAGTGCCACATTAATCAGTACTTGTTATCAAAATTCCAGGAAAACCGCCAATCTGTGCAACTTGTTTCTATAAATTTTGGCGAGCCAGTTGCCCCTTCCGTCTCATGCCTTGATGTACCTGTCTCATTAATTCTTTTAAGTGCCAATGAATAATTGACAGATTACAGCATATGCCTTATAATTAATTAACTTGTTTTTACCTGTCCTCTTTGTACAGGGTGTCTCAGAAAAATTTACGCCAAGATTAACGTGGAATAACTCTTTAGAGTGATAAAAGAATATTCTTGTTTTGGATAATTTTATTTGTGACTTGGAGTATTGTTAGACCACATTTTTTATCCCATCCAACAAAGTTCGGAGCATATTACACTCTTAGTGACATATTTTCTGATAGGCAGCCATTTTCAAGGCCCCCCCCCCCCCCCTTTCAAAAATGGCTATGTCTTGGCGTTGCTATTATCTAGTTTGTTTTACATTTTAAGTAATTTTAAACTAGGGGAGACACTGCAGGGGGTAGTTGGGTAGGACCATTACTCAGATATCCCAATTATATCGTATATTGTAGTATTTACATCTATAATTTCAGGTCACGTTAAACCAGGGGAAACAGTGTTACTGCATGCAGGAGGTAGTGGAGTCGGGACAGCCGCCACGCAACTATGCGACTTGATTGGTGCAAAAGCCATTGTCACTGCAGGCAGTGAGGCTAAAATCAACATGGCTAAATCTCTCGGAGCAGTCGCAGGATTCAATTATAAAGAAGTGGATTTTGCTGAAAAAGTACTTGAGTTTACGGAAGGTATTTTATAGTCTTATTTCTCATATTCAATTTTATTTGAAGGCATTCTATTTACAATGAAGGTAAATCTCAGCTGTCAAATCTCGATTAAAATCGGGAGAAATCCCAATGTTTTATTGCTCATCCAAATTTATTTTTCAAAATCCCGATTTTTATCCCGATTTTAAGGAAATATCCTGATTTTTTGTAAAATATCCAGATTTTAAGAAAATTATCCAATTTTTGGTAAATTATCCCAATTTTTATTTTTTTACTTGACAGGTATAGGTTGATACATGTTGTTCATTTTTCTTCATCAAGCCCCCCCCCCCCCCAAAGTCTGATGTCCACAAACTCCTGCAAAATATTTGATCCCCAGGATAATTTCATTAGGCTTGTATTGGACAATCCATACCTTTACTATTGCAAAGAAGGAAAAAACAAACCTTGCCATTTCATTTTTATATTTTCTCAAAATACTTCTCATTTTGTTACTGTTAGATATAAAAAACTTTGAATTTAGCACCATCTACAGTAAAACCTGTGCTGTATATTTAAACATCTCTAATCTGAACACCTCTCAGTGTGAACACTTTTTGTCTGATTAGAACACTTTTGGCCATTCTTAGTAATTGTTTGGATTTGACAGGTTTTACGTTGCATTTTTTAACATATCCAGGGATCAGTCCTGTAGCCAGAATTTGCCAAGGGGGGTCCCCTTCATAAAAATTTTCAGGGGATCACTTTTCACCAAAAATGGCCAAAATCACTTGAAAAGTACTCAGAATGGTGAAAAACTGCATGATTCTGGAAGAATTTCCCCCCCCCTCTGGCTATGGGGCCTGAAGTTCATTCAGGTGGCCACATATTACAGCTGAATTTCTATAATAGCACTATTTTTATTGGTACATCTGTTGTTGCATACATGTACATGTATATATTTATCCCATCGAACGAAGTTCGGAGGGATATAGGGAACGCCTCCGTCCGTCCGTACGTACGTCCGTCCGTCCGTCCGTCTGTCCGTCCGTCCGTCCGGGCAATAACTCAAATACCGTTGGCCCGATTTTGTTCATATTTTGTACACATATACCCCATGGGGGTAGAAGTTCTGCTCGAAAGCCGATTTTCAAAATGGCCACTCATTTCAAAATGGCGGCCATTTTAGTGCCGATTTTATAGTAATTTAGGTGCAATATGTAAAACTGTAGTAGCAATATGTTTTAAATGTAAAAAAGTTATAAAGGACATTAATAATGCTACAAATGTAGATATTAAAGAAGCACATGGCAGCCATCTTGAAAAATGGCGGCCTTTACTCGTCATTTTACGATTTTTGCTGTAACTCAAAATAATAGTGGAGCGAATTTGTTCATATTTGGTATGTGAATACTATAAGCATTGCACACTGTCTAAAGACACTTTTGGTAGAAGGTGGCCATTTTGAAAAATGGCCGCTATTTTGAAAAATGGCTGCCATTTTAACGTATTTTACTATAACTCGAAAAGTAGTGGAGCGATTTTGTTCATATTTGGTGTGTGAATACTATAAGCATGGCACACTGTCCTATGACACTGTGGGTAGAAGGCGGCCATTTTGAAAAAAAATTGAAAAATGGCCGCCATTTTAATGTATTTTACTATAACTCGAAAAGTAGTGGAGCGATTTTGTTCATATTTGGTGTGTGAATACTATAAGGATGGCACACTGTCCTATGACACTTTGGGTAAAAGGCGGCTATTTTGAAAAAAAATTGAAAAATGGCCGCCATTTTAACGTATTTTACTATAACTCGAAAAGTAGTGGAGCGATTTTGTTCATATTTGGTGTGTGAATACTACAAGCATGGCACACTGTCCTATGACACCTTCAGTAGAAGGCGGCCATTTTGAAAATTTTTTTGAAAAATGGCCTCCATTTTAATGTATTTTACTATAACTCGAAAAGTGGTGGAGCGATTTTGTTCATATTTGGTATGTGAATACTATAAGCATTGCACACTGTCTATTTCTAATGACACTTTTGGTAGAAGGTGGCCATTTTGAAAAATGGCCGCCATTTTTACGTATTTTAATAACTCGAAAAGTAGTGGAGCGATTTTGTTCATATTTGATATGTGAATACTCTAAGCATGGCACATTGTCCAATAAAACTTTGGGGAGTAGTCGGCCATTTTAAAAATGGCCACCATTTTTATGTGTGTTATTTTACAAGTACGTGTGCGATTTTTCAAAAAATTTAGAGGTGGCTACTTAAAAGCATATTATATTTCTTCTGATGACAACTTGGCTAGTGAGCAACCATTTTGAAAATGGTGGCCTTTCTGGTTAGTTGTTTTATGATATTTGCAATTCATTGTAAAAATGCCAGCCATTTCTGTTCGATGGGATTCGCTACGCTTTGGCGTTGCCGTTGTTCTGGTTTAGGTAAAGGCGTTGACCTCATATTGGATCCAGTTGGAGGAAGTTACTGGGAAAAGAACACTGCTGCAATTGCTTTAGATGGAAGATGGGTTCTCTATGGCTCAATGGGTATGTCTTTATTAATCATGAAATTGCTTTAGATGGAAGATGGGTACTCTATGGCTCAATGGGTATGTCTCTATAAATCATGAAATTGCTTTAGATGGAAGATGGGTACTCTATGGATCAATGGGTATGTCTCTATAAATCATGAAATTGCTTTAGATGGAAGATGGGTACTCTATGGCTCAATGGGTATGTCTCTATAAATCATGAAATTGCTTTAGATGGAAGATGGGTACTCTATGGCTCAATGGGTATGTCTCTATAAATCATGAAATTGCTTTAGATGGAAGATGGGTACTCTATGGCTCAATGGGTATGTCTCTATAAATCATGAAATTGCTTTAGATGGAAGATGGGTACTCTATGGCTCAATGGGTATGTCTCTATAAATCATGAAATTGCTTTAGCTGGAAGATGGGTACTCTATGGCTCAATGGGTATGTCTCTATAAATCATGAAATTGCTTTAGATGGAAGATGGGTACTCTATGGCTCAATGGGTATGTCTTTATAAATCATGAAATTGCTTTAGCTGGAAGATGGGTACTCTATGGCTCAATGGGTATGTCTCTATAAATCATGAAATTGCTTTAGATGGAAGATGGGTACTCTATGGCTCAATGGGTATGTCTTTATAAATCATGAAATTGCTTTAGCTGGAAGATGGGTACTCTATGGCTCAATGGGTATGTCTTTATATACATCATGAATGTGGTATTCAACAATGGTCAATTACTCTCAACCATCAAATCAAAGGACAAGGTGCAATTATTGGCAAATATCCCTATGGTCAAAATGAATCATTCGTAGGTGTAACATGAAGAATAAAATGTCATATAATACTTTGGAAAATATTAAAGTGCTCAGACACACATAATCATCATTTCGTTCAGTAAGGTTGTATTGACTTACATGGGGCTGTGCACCATTGACTTAACATGAGGATATCAGCAGATCCCAATAGAGGCCATTGGTTTCCATTGATTATCACAGAAACACCAAAAATACACTATGACCTGAATCGATTGCAAACTTAATAATTTCACAATACGACACAAATGGTTTATCTCATCAAATGTGCAAATATGAAGTTTGCAATCGATTCAGGTCATACTTAAAATTAAAAGATTGTACATATTTTCATCATTTTTTTCCCTACAAAATGGCTATAGAAAAATGCTCCAAAAACAACTTTTACACTTATCAAATATCATACAAGTTTGTAAAACCAAAGATTATACTATTATATTTCATTATGTAGTAACATATTTGGATAAGATGCAGGGATGCGTAGGATGTAAATGGATTTTGACAGACACAAAAATACTTCCTGGTTTGGAATCTATGCCTCTACACTTCATGATTGAATTATGACCCTAATAAGTGGCCTATACATCAATACAGTGCTGAATATAGGTCAACAAGATACTAGTGTGCATATAAATGTAATAATTGAAGCAGAATACTCATTTTGAAAAATCAGATGAATTATTTTTTTCCCATGGGGAGATCCCAATGGAGGGTGTATAAGGTCCTTTCCCATATTTACTCGATTATTCCTCAATATTTCACCCTTGAATATTTATATATACAAATCTGTATTGAAGGAGGTGGAAAGGTTGATGGAGACATCCTCGCTAAAATATTACGTAAGCGCATACAGTTGACTGGTAGCACTCTACGTACACGCTCAAATCAAGTAAGAGAACAAGTTAAATACTATTTTTTTTTAATTTTTACTTCATGTTTATAATTTAAAATTAAAGATAACCCAAGAAAAACTGTATACTTTTTCCATGGATTTCCAGATTACCTGTTTTATTAAAATACTAATTTTTTTTAATAGAAAGTTTTATCTCATGTTAATAAATTAGAAAATAAGATTACCTTAAGAAAAACTGCATACTTTCCATGGATTTCCATGGGAATTACCGGTATTCCATGGTAATTACTTGTATATCATGTAAAAAAAACATTTGAAATTAACATGTAATAGTAAAAAATATGTAATTGTGACTGGTAAATGTAATAACTATAAATTGTAAACAATCTTGGCACTGCCCACATTTTGGGTAGGAATGATTGTTTTTTCGTTCAATACTCTACAAGGTCACAGTGTACATGCAAACATTCCATTGTTATAAGTATCAATTTGACATTGAAGCATTTATCTTAAATCTAGTAGTTTAAAAATCTCTTAAAATGCATTCTTAAATCCCAAACTGAAGCTGAAAGTGTAGAATGAGTCTTCCCTATAAAAATCACAATGGTGAATTTTCTTCTCTTTTCTCCCCTTTTAAACACCTTACATGTACTGTTATGTATGGACTAATAAAATTATATGATGCCATATTTTTCCAGTACAAGGCTGAACTCGTAAAGTCATTCGAGGAGCATACATTAGAACATTTCCAAAGCGGAAAACTGAAACCTATTATTGATACAGTGCTCCCTTTATCTAAATTAGCAGATGCACATGCTCTGATGGAAAGCAATAAAAACAATGGGAAAATAGTGATAGTTGTGCGAGATGATGAAAGTGACATTAAAGCAGAATTATGATGACTCTTATGCTATATTATTCGTAAAACTACTATCATGGGTGTGAAACATAGGCAAGGCAAATTTGTTTTTTATAATGTATGTATCAAATGATTCAAATGTGTGTTCCTGGCTAATAGTAATTCAACATACAAAGTTGGTTAATCACGGCCATAATTATATTACTGGAAAATTCAGGAAAATAAACTTCATGAAAATATGTACAATTATGTTTTATAAGATAGCATTTTGGAAATACAGGATGGAGTCTGATGCATCAAAATTCCAATAAACTTAACATTGTAAAGAAGTGAACAAAAATACAAAAAGTAAAGACAAACCTACATGTGCACACATATGCATAATACCACCATGAAACAGCCTATTATCGCCCAAAGTTTTTTTTCACAAACCCCCTGGGATTTTATCATTTGAGACATCTTCAGGAGAATTTGATAAACGCACTGTGCATTTATTGGAGAGAATACGGTAGTAAACAATGTCCAACTGGTTGTATATAAGACAATCAAATCAAAGCATCTGAGTCAATAATTAATTGGCCATTGATCAAACAATCTTCCTTCCCCACCATTGCCCCCCCCCACCATTGGAGAAACACTATCACAATGCAAAAGCCATCTTCACCAATGCTATTCATCTGAGAAAAAATCTTTCTGTTATTCTTTGTTTGCGCTACCATTTTGCCATTCAGATAAATTTTGATGCATGAGATTAGTTTAATTTTTTGAACAAAGACAGAAAATAAAATGTACGATAAAGGCAAAGAAATTGGTGATGTGCGGTAAAATATTGTTTCTGATTACCTCGTATGTTAAAATGTGGTAGATCGAATCTTACAGTACTTTCAAAATCTTTGGTAATCAGTGTTAGAGTATACTTATTCAGTTATTGGGTATGGAGTACAGTAGTACACATCTCTTTAAGAAACTAGAGAAGGGATGGAGAGAGAGGATGTTGTAAGCTTAAACTGTTTTTTTCAAAAAAAGATTACATTGTATCTCAACATTCAGAACTCAATCAATTAGGAATTTAGGAAAGATACCAGGCTTGGAACTGACAGTTAAATAAGATAGAAAAGACAAGTTGAGACTAAGTTTTAGAAAATGGATGGTCATAATTCTACATTGTTTTCTCTCGTCATGCCTCTTCTCTGTTATTCTTACTTTGTTTCAGGGTAATTCTTCAATTTTTATGTGGCAATAGTTTTGATACGAAAAGGGAGCTAAGCCCTTTATGCATTTTACAAGTATAGGGTGACCCCAAAAATATAGTTTTGATATAAAAAGGGAGCTAACCCGTTTATGCATTTTACAAGTATAGGGTGACCCAAGAAATATCACCAACTAACTTTTGAATAACTTTCTCACTAAACACCCTGTATATCTGTTTTTTGTAGGACAAAATATGAGTTCATCTGTATATGAAACAAATTGTGTCCATGTTTCAAGACAGTGGTATATGACTGTGTATCATGAGCAAGTAATGTTGAATGTTCCAATTTTATTATAGTTTGATTATGTATAAATTTGGTAATCAGAAAGTGTATCATTTCCTTCACAAAATATATGAATAAAATCAAAAACGTCTTAAAATCTTGTACACAAGTACACTACCTGAAGAGCATCCAAATCGTTACGGTAACACTGTGTCCTCATAAAACATTAAGCCCCAGTGACTATATTGATATGTATCCTCGTAGGTTTTGACCTACATTCATTCACAGTCTATACATGTATCTATGATGAAATACGAAACAAACTCATATTTTCGATTCAAAGAATTTATTTTTCAAAGAGTATGACAGAAAATACAGATGGAAAAATCAGTTTTTAAAGATATGTGATACTGTTCAATACAATCATTCAGTGGCATCTGCTTAGGATTCACAGACATTCTTAATTTTTTGTAATTTTGTATGTTTATTTTTCATCCCATTTGCAGCTTTTCTTTTTGTCTGAAATAAGAATGTTATATTATATTTTGTAATATTACATAATACTAATATTATATACATAGGGGTTATGCACTGGGAGGTTTTGGAAACAAGGAATATCCCGAGGATATATTCGATATCCAGGCAAATATATTTTGTCTGTCCCGCATATGGCGTTATCTGGGACGTACGATGGCGGGATGTATAGCCGAATAAATCCTCGGTTAATATGTCCCTGAGATCTCATCACATATGGAATACATGTACATATACATGCATGTCGAAGAGAATTGTTACAAAACTGCAAAATAGACCCAAGAAATGAAGAGGGCAAGAACTAACAAGGAAAACAAACCCAAAATATAAAATAGTATGATCTAAAGTGTAATAATCTCCCTACTTGGGAAAACCAAAGTTTCAAATAGAGAAGGATTGCATTTGAAATTTATTGACCACTAACAAAGTTCATTTGAGATCAATTTCGAATTTTGATTTCTCACTTTAAAATTGGGAATGCCCAATATTCATGAATGTACTATCTAATCCGCCTTGTGACAGTCATAAACCATTCCGGTAATAGTTAGCCTATTATTCCAGAGACATTCATATTTCTAATTAACACAGTGGTGAATTGTTTCACACTATTACCCTGTTGCTCGGTAACTGCATCATTCATATACTTAACACATCCTCTTTTATGAAAAATTTAAGAAGGTGATACTGGTGTTGTCACATTTACATGTAAATGTTTACTATTACATTTATAATCGTATTTTGAATAATCGCTATACATTGCCGTCATATTGTGCTAATGGGTGTGAATCGAGTATTCATTAAAATTCCCATTTTCGACTTCCAAGGTGGTATAACAGTTTGAGGAACTGAGCAATTGAAACCAACTGAATCAAGATGTAAAATTCCAGGAAAACCATTAAAAGCCCACTTCGCATATTTTCAATGTTTTTTGGGCAAAATAAAGACTTTTATTTGAATTCTATAGAATGTCCAATGTATTGATAAGAACCATATCTTTCATTTGACACCAACAATAGCTCAAACGGACCACATCAAAGCTTACAATAAATAATCAAAAAATATTTTTGATCTGTCAAGCTTTATATATCAAGTTTTTATCAATATCAGTAAAAGATGGCGAAGTTGTTTGTATTACATGATACATTCATTTTTATAGAAGTGTCACCATCTTTTAAATCAAAAGTAATTAAAACATGCACTTTCTTTAGCATGTGCATGCATGTCTGATGATCTCTGAACTTCAAATGCTTTTTTCTATGTGAGTTATTTTTTCTTGGTTCAATATTAAAGCAAATCAAACTTTGTTTCATATTTGAGCGAGTGTGTGAGTAATATGTTTCAATGATAGTTTTTCTCTTTTTTCTTATAAATTGAGTATAGTGGGCCTTTTATTGTTCATCTTGAGCTTTCTACAGATGCAAGGACACCATACTAGTGCCAATATCTGATTATTTAACTTACTGTTGATGCAAATCTCCTCTGTCAGATGAATCCCGACCCATATAAGGTCTTTAAACGATGCACCTGGTATTTGCATGTTCACAACTGTGCAGTTGATTGGTTCAGATCCAATTTTCTTCCATTCACGCTCGTACCCATCATTGTTTTCTTTATGATTGGGAAGTCCTATTTGAGAAAGAGGATACAATATAATCAGAGATCATTCACATTTGCATAATATATATTATTTATGGTGTTGCTAACATGTTGGCTGTCATTTGACGCATCCACTCGTATGCAAAAGTTGCCTGGCCAAACAATGATGGTCGACTGAGATGAAGGAATAGGTACATGTGGGAATCTTCAAAATGCCATTTGGTTTTGTCCAGTTTGTCCTTTGCTCTGTCATCTTGATCAATCAAGGTACAACTAAAGGAAGTAACACTGGACTAACACTATGTTGACATGCAGCCTTATTTAGCATTCGCAAATTCAACTGATGTCTACTTTCTAATGGCCAACCGTGGGCTTTCAACTATCTAATTGAAAGCCCATGGGCCAACTAATTGTAATATCAATGGTACAGTTGCAGGTACTATTTATACTTAAATGAGTAGCCACAGGTTAATCCATCAGCCGCTAGTTGTATTAAGGAATGCTACCTAAGAAACATCTCAGTAGATTCAGTAGAGGCATGCTGTGACACAAAATCACTCAAAAATGTTAATTAGAAAATCTGTCTTTCAAAAAATTTACCCAATACATGTAAGTGAGTGACAAAATTATTTAGGAAAATGGGTAGATGTGACACATCATTGGTAATATATGTGAATGCTAGTGAAAGCAATCCAGAAAGATAAAAATCAAAGATTTCGGAAAATTACATTTTTGAACATTTTTGATGATTTCACCGAGAACATGCCTGGACGGAAATTATGATATCTCTAAATCTCAAAGTTGTTGATGCTATCCAAGAACAACAATCTTTTCTCCATTGAACACTCTGTCTACACCTAAAATTCACACATGAAATTCCTTATTTATTGAGAAAGTTATTCCAAATTAAGTGGATGGCAATTTTGTGTCACCCTGTATTTCAGTTACTCATATTTACCAGCTACATATATCTCTGCTCCAATATCCTTTAACTTCTGGGCGGCTTTGATGGTATCTGCTCCACTGTCTACGACTCTTCGATTAGCCTTCCAGGTTCTGCCATCAGTACAAATTACGACTATTTTCCTGACATTTGGTCTTGCCCTTGATGATTGTAATTCCTTCTGAGCTGCAGCTATAAACACACATAAATAGGATGGAATGCATGTTGTGAGTTTGAAAGAAGGACATGAATACGAATGTTCATATTTTTCCTTCAGCCATTTCTTCTTGCATTGTATGTTTTTGTGTTTATATCATCTTAAATATCTCTTTAGATAATCTAACATCAATCAGCTAAGAGCTTTAAAATCAAAAATATAACTAGACATCAAAACTGCAAGCAATCATATACTTTTTTAAGGTCAATAAAAGGTCAGATTTAAAAAAGGATACACAAGAACTCATGAATTTAATAATCCAAAATTTGACCTTGAAAAAATGTTAAAATTTGACCTTTTTTCAATTGTTGTACTCAATATTTTCTAAATATATTATAAGTGCAAAATGTTTACAAATACACTGTAGTCAATTGCTAATTGCTAATATTTAACTTTAACTCATTTTAAAATGTGGATATGTAGTTCCAAACTTTGAAAAACTTAGAAAGCAGATTTGTGACTTACAGTAATTTGATGACATTTGACCTTCAAAGTTTCCCTTTTTCTAACCTCTTAATAATTTTATGAACGTTTACCAATACTGTATGTGACCTTTTGTCATAGTTTTGCTACTTCATGTCAAGTTTACCCCAATTCTCTGTTCTGTTTGCCATTTCTGTTCGAAATGAACTTTTTCATACACCCCTCTTTCAAAAAATGCCCATGGGCCTATTTGAGAGTATGGGGCAGATTTTGGCAAATATGCTTAATTTCATTTTTTGTTTTGTACTGTTATCACTGTTCATGTACTACTTACCCAGTGCAATGTGTGTTTGTGTATATGTTGCTGTTTTTCTTGGAATTTTTCTTGCAGCTTTGATCAAGCCTTCCTTGCCATATTGTCCCAATTTTGCATGGGTGTATACTCTTCTATTGTAGCTCAAGATTGCAATCTAGAACCCATTCAGAATTAGAAAATAAAACATGCATGCAAAAGAATTGATCTCAAACTAAGCCACGGTGGTCTTTAATCACATTCTATAGATGATCCAGATACTCTAGTACCCCGATGATACAAACATGCATCTGAAAGACATATATTGCTTCTGTTTGATTTTATTACATAAACATTACATGAGGAAATATATTTTTCTCCCATTCTCTTACTTCTTATGTATAATTCATTGTAACTCTCTTATATCATGTATTTAAGAGGTAACATTTTGTATTTGAATGGATTAAAACTAGAATCAGTAGTATTTAGCTTGACAATTCTGCTCACGTGGTTTCTTTAATTAATACGATGTATAATTAACCATAGTATATGTAGAGAGGCTATCATTATATAATACCTGAAGGTAATTAATTCTGTCAACAGCGGTGGGGCTCAAAATCTTGCTTGCTTTAAGAAAATCATCCAAGAATTCCAATAAATCACTAAGATCTGGTTTGGTGATACTGTTGGATCTGTCCACGATAAACACCACATCAGCTGTACAACATGGTACTGGAATAGATTTCAAAATGTCCTAACAATTTAAGATGTTGTTCTACCTAACTCAATCAGCCGAGATTTTCAGACCGTGTATTACATTTTTAGTCCTACAGGATTTTATTTTGTTATTTTTATCATGTATGTTAATGCTATAATATCTGATCCAATAAAGCTCACAACTTAATAAAATGGCTTATTAGGGCCGCATAGTACATGTTATATGAATATATTTACTCACCTTGGTCTTCTAATGGTATACTTATTTCCCCAAGTACAAGTTCTACTGATTGGTCCTTCTGTACCCCAAGGTTTGGACAAACCACTGTGTTTGCAGGAAACGTGTCTGGTGTGTTAGTGTACGAGATAGGCTTCCATTCATCTACTCCAGTTCTCTCGACAGGACTTTCGGTCGGATGAATCCTGATCACTTGAATGCTGCTTATCGGGTGCTGCTTTTGGTTTTTTATGTCAAATGCTTTGTCATTTGTTAATTTTCTTGAATTCTCCATGTTGTATTTATTATCAATAGAAATACCATCCGTAAAAATAATAATATTATCAGGGGCTTCATCTTTTTCTTTCTGTTTAAAAAGATTATTGCATGCATCTAGAGCTTTGTGGGTTTCAGCTTTGCAATCATCGCAGGTTCCTTCTTGTCTGTTGTCTAATATATTCCCTATCTGCCCAACATCAGAAGACCATGATAATTCCACTTTTGCATCTTTACTGTATGTCACCAATGAAAATGTTGATATATCAGCTTTCTTAATGATTTCAAGGATGTCGTTTTTTGCACTTTTCAAAACTTCGGCCCTTCGCGCTTCACTCTCTCGACAAGAAGTTTGAACAATGAAGCAGTAGTCTCCATATGTTTCTAAACCTATAAAGATAGATAATTTCAGTATATAATTATGTGTGACAGGACAAAAGATGTATCGTTTGCTCAGAAGGAGGAAAAGTTTTGTGCACTTTCTACCCCCCCCCCCCCCCCCCCATAGCTCTGATTCTGCCATTATGACGCTGTAGTCTTTGTCTTTAATCAAGATTCAAGATTTTATTATGTTTCCTCACAAGAAAATTACATTATATAATTATACAGTTATAATGTAAAATGCATTGAATTTAACAAGTATTCAAATAATAATAGTTCTATATAAGTTCACCCCTCTTACATGTATTACAAACTCATTACAAACTTACATGTATATACTAAAACAACTTTATTCATTTCTTCAGAGAATTTTCTTTATTAGATCAAGTCTTTATACTAGTATCCTCAAGACTTTTTCAAAATTAAAAAAATATGTATCATAGCAAGTCAAAAGCATTGATGTAATAAAAAAATTATCTGGAGTTGTTTTAGTATACAATTAATAATAATTTAATCATCTCCTTTCAAAAGTAAACTTTAGTCAGAATAACAGATGCACCAGTTTTAAAACTCATAAATGACTGGAATCACCCTAGCCTTATAGTAAATCGAATACCAACCATCTCTTGGTTCAAAAGTGCAATTAAACAATTCATTCATGTATCAAACTTCATACCAACGTCAAAACTAAACACATTTAAGACCGCACCTTGAATTAAGGAACAATTGAGATTCAAAGAAAGGATAGGTATGGATATGGAGAACTGAATTCAACAATGTTTTTCTCTTAAACCAATCATTGAAAACATTCTGTAAAAAAACATGGTATTTTATGTAATGTTGACTGATTGACAACAATTTAATGCGAAAATTATTTAGAAATATTTTATATAACTGTTTTTGTTGTTTTTTTGTTTTATTAGTGCAATTGTTTTTGCTCCTTTCTACCAATTTTTGAGAATAAAATAAAATGTCTTTCCGAACCTTGTTGGAACAAAATAGCATATACAACATGTTTTTAAACCTCTCAATATTAAAGTTATACAAAGGAATTTCTGGTTGATTTTTAAAAAGTATTCAAAAAATTAAAACAAAATCCCTCCAAAATAGATAAGAATCAAGAAAAAACTTTTATTTCATTAACAAGATACTTTTTTAAAATCAACCAAAATTTCCTTTGTACAATTACAATACTGAGAGACCTAAACATGTTTATATCGTTTTGTTCCAATGAGGTTCGGAAAGATGTTTCATTTCTCACTCTGGAAACATGATACCAAGAACAAAACTAGTGTTTGATGTGTTTTTTAAAACAATATAGATGAAAGTATGTATATCTATTTCAAATTATATTGTTACCATTCAAAAGATGGCCATTAAATTGACAATTTGTAAGATTTTCAGAAATTTTTGATGACTGGTTTAAGAGAAACGTGTGTTAAAAAAGTTCGCCATATCGATACCCATTCTTTGATTGAAATAGTGATGCATTTGTTCAGATCCATCTCATTTGTAAAACTCTTGAAACCAAGATACATATTTATAAAAATAAAAAAGCAAGTCTAAAAGGTTTTCCCTGCATTTTTGATATTCTAAATATAGTATTAAATTGTAATTAAAATAACATACGTGATTTTGGGACACATTTGTCTGCCCAGAATGCATCAGTCAAGTTGAATTCAAAGCCAGCTCTTGCTTGCATTTCGCCTTCCCCCAGCTTAACTTCACCTCTCTGAAGCTTATACCACAACGCAGGGTCAAGAACATCATAGACAGCTTTCAGTGAATTTATACCCACTGCTTCGCTTGTGTGCAAGCTGCACAGTAGCAGTGATGTCGCAAGTAGTATCAACTTCATCTTGATAAACAGCTGAAAATGAAAGCAAGGACGCGATCAGACTTAGAATGGTTCAAATGCTGTATGACTGTTGCTTTTCCTGTATGTGCACGCCGCACAGCATCTGTGTTTGTTGCAATAAAGATCAACTTCATCTTGATAAACAGCTGAAATGAAACCAGAGATGAGATTGCTGTATGTCTAGTGATGTCCTCCTTGTGACACACAGCGTCATTGTTGTAGGATTGAATACATTGTGCTAAACAACTTAAAATTAAAACTAGGGTCTACACTGGCGGATTAGGGGGGGGGGGGGGGGCGGGCCCTCCCCCCCTTGGGTGGGCCCAGAAGAAAAAAAATTGGGCCCAAAAAATTTTTTGGGCCAAACAAGGCCTTCAGGCCCCAAAAAGTGGGCCTTTTTGGTCATTACTGGGCCTTTTAAGGCCTTATTTTTTAATTTCAGGCCAAATTTTGAAGAAAATGGGCCTCAAAATTTCAAAATTTGGGCCCACTTTTGGATTTTAGGGGCCCAAAATTTTTTTTCGCGCAAGCGCAGACGTTTTTTTCTTTGACCTGAATTTTGGCCCCCCCCCCCTTGTTGGTTCCTGGATCCGCCTCTGGTCTAATAATGAAAGCAGATATACGATGAGACTCAAAATGGTTCAAATGCTGTGTATCTGGTGCCCTCCTTTTGGCACGCAGAGTCAATGTTGCAGGCCTGACTGTATTTTGCTAAACAACTATAAACTAAATATGACGTGCACGGACCTGGGGACAATTCGGAAAATACGGGCTAATCTCAGCTTTAAGCGTTATTATCTGCCTTATTTAAAAAGCTAACTATGTGCATTATATATACAGTTTGTTTGCATAGTTGTTTATTTGTCAATTAAATCGATTTTAAATGTACAGGCAACTGACACCCATACGGGTGTATATAGTTACATATGATTATATTACATAATTGTATTAATCAAGATGACAAGATATAAAACTGTTTTTTTAAGATAGAAAGTTAGAAGAAAAGTGATAGAAGAGAAAGAAATATACATATATAAAAGCACATATAGCTAAATGTTATACAGATTAATTTAATACTTGTCCAGATAATACTTTTTCAAATCTGACTTAAATTTATTTCTAGAATTCAGATGTTTAAAAGTTTCAGGTAATTCATTCCATGTTATTTGTCCTATGTATTTAATGCTACTTTGTCCAAATGTAGATTTAAATTGATTAGCTCTAAGATTGAATCTATAACGTGTCTCTTGACCATGAGTTTGAGCATTTGATTTGAAGTAGTCGAGAATAAAGTTTGAGGAAATTCTTTAGGTCGTTTGAGACAATTATATACAAAAATACCGACATTTAGCTTATGAATATCTTCTAATTTAAGTATTTTTATTTTCTTAAATTGTGGAGAGGAATCGTCTGTTCTAGCACTGTTTGTAATTAGTCTTAAGAATCTTTTTTGTACTTTCAAAATTTGAAACAATAGAGCTTTAGTTGCTGTTCCCCAGATAAGAATACAATAATTTATATGGCTATATATAAGAGAGTAATAGATAGACATCATTGCAGTGTGATTTATCTTATTTTTGACCTTGAAAAGAATTCCTACTACTTGTGAAATTTTGGTAGATACATGAGCAATATGCTCATTCCATTTAAGTTTATCATCGATAATAACTCCAAGGAAAGTGGTCTTTGAAATTCTTTCAATAGGTTTATTTCTAATTTTAATATTTAGCATTTTTATTTCAGATTCTTTTAATTTGTGTGGATGAAAGATCATGAATTTTGATTTTTCTATATTAAGCGATAGTTTATTTGCACATAGCCATTCGTCAAGATTTTCTAATTCAGAGTTAACATGATTAATGAGAGTACTTAGGTTTTTATGTGAGCAGAGAAGGTTTGTATCATCAGCAAAGATAACAAATTTAAATATAGAAGATGTCGTAACAATGTCATTGATGTAAATAAGAAACAGAATAGGTCCAAGGATCGAGCCCTGTGGAACCCCGCAGGTGACTGTGTTGGTTTTGGAAGTCTTGTCATTATATTCTGTTTCCTGAGTTCGGTTTGAAAGATAGCTAATGAACCACTTATGTGCATTTCCCCTGATTCCATAATAGTATAATTTTTGAAGAAGTATTTCATGATTAACCGTATCAAATGCTTTAGACAAGTCGATGAAAATAGCAATATTAAGATCTTTCTTTTCAATTGACTGGATTAATGTTTCTAAGAAGCTGGTAATAGCCATATATGTAGATCTGTTTTTTCTAAAGCCAAATTGCTGTTCACAGAAGATATTATATTTCTCTAGAAAACCTACAAGTCGATTTGCCATTACTCGCTCCAATACTTTAGAGAATACTGATAATAGGGAAATTGGTCTGTAGTTATTGAATTTAGTTTCATCCTCCTTTTTAAATATAGGCTTGACCTTTGCTTTTTTTTAGTAAGTCTGGAAATGTTGCTGTTGAAAGGGAGAGGTTACATATATATGTCAGAGGTATAATTAAATTATCCTTGACTGTTTTTATTGCAATTGGTTTGATTTGATCTTGACCAGGGCTTTTGTCTTCAAGTTCTTTTAAGATTTTGCTCATTTCATCATTTGAGACATTTGATAAAAATATTGACCTATTGAAATTTTTTTCAATTTTTTCTAAATAATACCTGGGCTGTTTTTGAGAGATTGGAATTTTTCTAGCAAGGTTGTTTCCAATATTAGAGAAAAAATTGTTGAAGTTGTTTGCAATTTCTTGTGGTTCCTTAAAGTGCTTATCTCCTGATCTAAATGTAGTAGAAATTTTTTTTGGGGAGATTTTTCGCTTAAGGATGCCATTTATTAATGACCATGTGTCCTTCATGCTTAAAATATCATTTTGAAGTATTTTTTATTCGCATTTCACTGAAATTATTTTTCCATGAAAAGTGTGATGGGATCTACCATAATTTTGAAGTTAAATGTACTCCGACATCGTCAAATACGCTGTAAGGCGTAACATTTCATGCTTACACGGTTCGTTGAAATCGGGATAACTTTTGAAATACTGATCAGAATTTTACTAAAATTTCACATTTTATTCATTCAAACATGTGCTTTCATGACGTCACAATTGCCTAGCGGCTACAGTTCAAATCGTCTTATATGAACGCTTTTAAGATTTTCAAAATTGTGTAAGGTTTTGAAGGCGAAGGAGACAAGCAATAAGTTTACCTTTATTTAACCTTCTAATTTAGGTCTGATTTCAAAAAAATTTTAACTGCACAATATTGTCATGGCGAAATTTACAAAACAATAACCAATTTCTTTATTTTTCAAATAATAAGAGAATAAGAGTTGCTTTTAGAGAGTTGAAAAATGTAACGCATCGCTTTTTTACCACAAATCCTATACATATCAATTTTTACTAATGCCCCGAGTGGATTTCCTGACCGTTTTTCAAAAATCAAAAATATTTTAGAAATATTTTCCTCGAGATCTTGTTGCTCTGTGAATTTTACCAGGATTGAATAAGAATAAAGCATCTTATTTTTAGGTTGACTAAACTTGACAAAATGTAACGCTTGTCGTTTTTGACGTTATAATGCTGATTGCGCCCTATACTGCCCATTGTATTGTTTTGGTATTTTGACGCCATAATGTTACGCTAATTGTCCCCAGTTTCGTGCGACGTGTTAAAACTAAAAAATGAAAGCAGATATACGATGAGACTCAAAATGGTTCAAAAAAGCTGTCTGGTATCTTCTTGTGTATCATATCAAAGTTTGCACGATATATTGGCGTAATTTTTGACTGAAATCGGAAAGACGTTTTGATACAAATGTTTTGGAATTAGTTTGATACGATTTGATCGTTGATATAAAGTAAATGTAGATTAAAAACTTCAGTTAAGTAATATCATTTAAAATTAATTCCTTAATTTCATGTAAGATTATAAATTCCTTTAAAAGTGACAAATTGATTAATTAGATGGACTCACCTTTTGTTCAGCGTTGAAAAGACAACCAATCTCCAGATGAGCAGCCAGTTTTATACTCGAAGAACAATAAAATAAATTATTTTTATTACTGCGGATTAAATTCAAAATTGCAGCAACGCCTTTGTAATGAACTCCCACCGACACTTTATGACCCATGTACCAGCATGTCCTTCTGTCTGTCGATTCTAAGTTTGTCTCCTCATCAACGAATACGTCATGCATTTCGAATACGATTTTAGTTGTATCTAAAGTGTTTAAGCCATGTTGAATATGGGAATCCAAAGACTATAGACGCACCCAGCGAGAACTCAACTGATATAAATAGTGCAGATTCTTAATAAAGTATCAAAAAACGATTAAACAAGAATATTGAATATTTAAACGTTTAATAGTTAACAAAATCGTTCAGAAGAGAGGACAAAATCCATGAATTTATAGAAAAGATTACATTATTAGTTTTTTGCTTAAGAGTCGTTTTCTATAAATTCATTGATTCTGTTCTCCAGATAGATGGCTGCAACACTTAGTGAATATCAAAATTTCGATATAAACCATACCTCTATTAAACAGTTGAATTTGAGACTTCGACTGTATATACTAGAAATTGCAATATATAGCGAAAATGGCGTATGATCTCACTTGTCTAAATTAAAAATTCGGGCCAGGGATGTTGAGTTTAAGCTAAACATTGATCGCTTATAGTTTGTAAGTAAAATGGGTACCCCGAGAAGGAGCCTTTAATACTTTTAGCATACACAATCCTTTAATGGGATTCCTGCCTCCGCATTTATGACTTTATATTTCGTGATACCGCAATCCAAAACCATAACAATAAAACAACAAACTTGAATAATTTTTTGATTTTATATTTCTTGATACCACAACAATCCAAAACCATAACAATAAAACGGACCCCAACAATTATTATTTAAAATATGGATGAATATATAATTTGTGGTGACTGCTCGTGGGATGATATTGTGACTGAAAATTGCGGTATTGATATTAGATTGTCTGATGATGAAAATGAACAAAATGATCTGTGAAAGATGGAGCGCTCGTCAAGCTTCAAAGAAATAATTATTTGTAGACCCAGAACCTTAAAATGTTTAGTATTATCAGTGTTAGGAATGAAATGTACTATTTGAAGTCCATGGTGTGATGTAGGTTTTAAAAAGTAATCTTGGGAATACTTGAAAGATATCATGTTTAATTTCGTGTGTATTCGTTTAGGAAGACATTTATCTTTCTAATAACGTTAAACGATTTTCCAACAGTTCTCGATTTTTTTTCTACCCACGAAAATTGATCAGTTGGAAAATGTTGGGTTTTTCACATTTCCTTTGATCATTTTTTCCCCTGTTGCCTAAGAGTGTCGATTATTTTTTATGAGAATATGTTTCTCTATACTACACAATTTAGGACGGGTGGAGATTAATAAATATTCAAGTATTTATTGTAATTTTAAAAAAATCAGATATGTGTTTTGTCAACTCGAATGTACGTTGTCCCTGTGCACGAAATGCACGAGATATACGTAATATTAAACAATGTAATGATTTCATTTCAAAATTCATTAAGGTTTTTATGAGTAACAAGTCATCTTTAACGAACATGTTCAAGTATCCTTTTTGCTTTTTCATTTTATGAAAGTATTGTTGTGGTGGTTGTGCCCATTTGGTTTTAGCTTCCAGCCCAAACTCCCATCCAGTGTATCGGAATATAATATGTTGAAGACTAGCACTGCCGCGGAGTGTGCTTCCAGCCTTTTTGAATATTTGCATGGCGTCTGTACATTACGTTTTGTTAGTTAAATTGATAGATAGTTCTAGTGATCGATACTAGCTTATTGAATATGACTTTTTAAAATCCCGTTTATGATATATCTTGAAAGTTTCAATAGTTCAATCAATTTGAAGTAATTCTGTAATTGTTCTGTTTCAATTTTAAATGCATCTGACCCCCCTGTCTGTTAATGTTATGAAAAATACGTTGTCTGCATTAGGGTTAACTGTGAATTGAGTAAGTTCAATGGGAAAACGTACATTCGAGATGACAACATACACTTCAGGGGCGGATCCAGGATTTCAGGTTAGGGGGTGCGCCTTGATTTTTGAATTCGAAGTCGATGGATGAACAAAGGAGGCTGGAGACCGACAAACACGAGGTCCCCGGGAATTTCGAGAATTTGAATGCCATTTACTGCGATCTGATCATTTTTTAATATTTTTAAATCATTGTACCGAACCAAAAAAGTGCGGATAATAATCTTACATAACTGGTGGTACATGCACTATCTAGACAAGTCGGAGGAACGTGTACGCAGAATGCGTATTGATCAAGATAAGTTCTTGAAACGTTTATTGCAAATGGACTGAAAAACTGGATCTGCAATGAATTAAAAGTTTTATTTTTCTTAGATAACGCCAACATTCTATTCTATTATTGTTTTTGGTAAAATTATTTTCATCAACCTTCGGTTGAAATCGTTTTAACTGAAATCTTAATTAAATTGAGCATCCCAAACATACAAATGATAACGTGTGACATATCAGACGATGTTACATGTGTCCATTTTCATGATTCAAAAAGACGTAACACAATTTAATCATGACACCAATTTTGATTAAAAAGCTATTGAAATGTGAATTAAATTGTTTTACCAAAGTGAAATTGGTCATCTATAGCGTCCGAGAAATAAAACAATTATATTTCATCAGAAAATTAGACTGTGCGATTTCAAAGATCAACGTTTCCATGGGCTTTCTAATTGAAAACCATTTAAAGCATTTTAATATTGAAGCAGTTTTTGAATTTACACCTTCAAAGTTCCAACGCTCTATTGTCGACATGTTATCAGTTTTTTCATTTTCAAATGTCTCTTCTTGAATACATTTTTCTTTGATATTAGTCTATCTAATATCTATGCCGGATTTTAAGGGGAGCGCGCGTCCCGCGCGCACCCCCCTGTATCCGCCACTGCACTTATAATTTTTTAAATTATAGCCAAAATGTTAATACTTATTAAATCTTCAACAGACCTAAATGTGCTGTTTAAAGAAACATATTCTCATAAAAATCTTAGACAACAGGGGAGGAAATGATCAAAGAAAATGTGTAAAAACACAACATTTTTCAGCCGACCAATTATATGGGTAGATTGACTACGAAAAAATCTAGCACTGTTCGAAAAGATTTTAACGTTATTAGAAAGTTAAATGTCTTCCTGAACGAATACACAAAAAATCAAACATGAAATCCTTAATGCATTTCTCAGATTATTTTTTTAAAACCTACATCAGACCTACATCATTGTCTTTGCTTCAAATCGGTTAAATAGTGACATCGTACATCAAAAGTGTACTACGGTATATTTTGTCACTGTACCTTGTCGATGGTTAGGCGTGATTGCGTGATAAATAAGAACTCCATGCAACATTTCGTTACGTGCAGCTGCTCTCTCACAAGATTTTCCATCTATTGAATATGTATGAACAAGTACCAGAGGTAAAAGACTAAAACTTGTTGCAGAACATAGCAAGGAAAAGAAAAAAACTAAGGTAAACAAACCCCAACTATCCCAAATTATGACCTAACGTGAAAACAAACAATGTCGAATACCCCCTCCCACACACTTCAAGTACCATCATCTCAATCCAGGATTGAGCTGCCTAAGGCATACGACCCTGGATATCATTTTACATGTGTGCATGTACACAGTGTGCACATCTGTTTGAACCTCAAACCAAACTAAACGTGACTACTGTAGTTTTATTGCAAAAAGTATACATGATCAAAAGCAAGTAAAGCATTTTCAAATTCAATTAGATCTCAATGTGTTCAAATTTTCAAAATGTGAAATAAAGTAAAATAGGAATAAAATGGAATAAAAGTGGAAAAGATAATAAAAATTATATAACATGTATATTTCGAACACCTTGAATATTTTTGATGTTGAGCAACAGCTTGTTTGTAATGGGCATTTGTTTGAATTGTTGTTTGCAAGTCTAATTATACACTATTTGTTTGTTTTGTTTAATATATTGCTTATTATACTGTTGTATGCACTTTGTACATGCTTCCGTTTAACATGGTTGTTGCCAACCACAGAATGGGTCATTATCAACGATGGAATGGGCCACTATCGAGAATGATCAGTATCGATATTGTCTTAAGAATAGTTCAACTTAAATATGAACCATATAAACTGTACAATGGGTCAGTGTAGAATATTGTCAAACACCAAAATGGGTTAGTTTAGAATATGGTCATTAATCACTATAGAACGGAACCGTATAAAACATGGTCATTATTATCCATATAATGGGTCAGTTTAGAATGAAAATTGTAACATTTAAATAAGTCCTGAAAAATGTTTGTACTACATTTAACAATTGTTGTTCTTCTCTGTTATTGTTCATAAAGTTTAGTTGTATCTATGTTATTCAAATTTTGCTTTTTGTGACATTTGTTTATTACATTTGCATGAAAATACAACAATCGCTATTCCTTGGTAGTATTTGAATACCAAATGTATTTTATATTCAAATAAAGAATATCATCTCTTAGACGCATCCTATTTGGTGGTATCAACATTTTATGTACTGAATAAATATGGCAACTGGTAAAAACCACATCATGATTTAAAATTAAAAATTCATAGATTCTTTTTTATTGTCAATATATGTGGTTGTTATTCGAAAATGAAAAAAAAATTATTCTCTTACCAACTCCTGTATAAAAAACTATAAGCCGTGGGCTTTGCAACACGTTGGCTTTGTGGGTTGCTGTATGAAGTAATTTAGTAACTGAGTAAATATAGTAACTGAGACTCAGTGAATTGAAAATGATGCATAAACAAAAGGGGAACCTTTCGTTCAAACTAAATAGTTGTTGGTGGGGGAGGGGAGTATTATACATCATGTTGGATTATGTTTGGGATAGTTGGGGTTTGTTTTCCTTATGACTGGGTACTCTTGAATTTTTTAGTTTTCTTTTCTTCTTGCAGGTTGCCAAACTTATGGAGGGGGTGTATCAGGACCTTTTAAAATTGTCAATTTCATTGTCAAGGATTTCGATTTCAGTATTTAGTTTATCTCGCTTCATTTGGTTAGCAACATGTTGCCATTATTGCCAAACTTATGGAGGGGGTGTATCAGGACCTTTTAAAATTGTCAATTTCATTGTCAAGGATTTCGATTTCAGTATTTAGTTTATCTCGCTTCATTTGGTTAGCAACATGTTACCATTATTGCCACACTTATCTAGGGGAGTGTATTTTCAATACTAACATTATTTTTTGATTGTAGTATACAAAAATTAAAGCTTTGAGATTTTTTAAACATGCTTCACAGTTTCGTGTTTTAATTGTTTACACAAATTCCATTTTTAGGTATTTATCAGTCTATTATATAAATTCTTGGTTTACAAAGTATTTGAACAGTTTGTAACATAAAATATACAGTGTAGGTCACCTATTAGTTTTTAAATTAGATTTTATCATGAACTCATGTACATCAAAATGATAAGGGAACAATACCATATGTTACAGCACATGTGATAGATGTATAGGTCATAACACATGTTTATTTTTTAAAGTTCAGAGACTTCATAATATTGGCTTAATAATCTAAAATAGTTTAAAGGTTTTCCTTGCAAATGTTTTACTGAAATCTGTTTTTTCTATAAATACTATGTATGATTTTAAATAATGTTTCTTTCTGTGTCTTCACGATTCTTCGACATCATACGTGTCCTCAAAGATGTGTGGCCAGGTAATATGCATTTTCTCTTTTCATCACTACATAACCAAACTGACCAGCTAAAATACATTTTCTCTTTTCAATATTACTCAACCAAATTGACCAGCTAAGATGCATTTTCTCTTTTCAATATTACTCAACCAAACTGACCAGCTAAAATACATTTTCTCTTTTCAATATTACTCAACCAAATTGACCAGCTAAGATGCATTTTCTCTTTTCAATGTTACTCAACATAATTGACCAGCTGAAATTCATTTTCTCTTTTCAATGTTACTCAACCAAATTGACCAGCTGAAATTCATTTTCTCTTCAATATTACACAACCAAACTGCCCAGCTGAAATTCATTTTCTCTTCAATATTACACAACCAAACTGGCCAGCTAGAATTCATTTTCTCTTTTCAATATTACTCAACCAAATTGACCAGCTAAGATGCATTTTCTCTTTTCAATATTACTAAACCAAACTGACCAGCTAAAATTTATTTTCTCTTCAATATAACTCAACCAAACTGGCCAGCTAAAATTCATTTTCTCTTTTCAATATTACTCAACCAAATTGACCAGCTAAGATGCATTTTCTCTTTTCAATATTACTAAACCAAACTGACCAGCTAAAATTTATTTTCTCTTAATATAACTCAACCAAACGGACCAGCTTAAATTCACTTTCTCTTCAATATAACTCAACCAACCTGGCCAGCTAAATGTTCACATTATTTTACATCATTGTTAAAATTCAAATCCTATGTATGATCAGATATTCAATACTAGTATGTGAAATAAAATATATTCGCATTGTGCACTGGCAATTTTCAAACAGAAATAATCACAGGGTCTGTACCAAATTTAGAGTGACAGTTGACGCGCGGGGTAAGGTTCAACACGAGAGTGGTGAAATTTTAGCAAACTGATGTTTTCATCGTTTCAGACAGATCTGCTCTTGAAAACACGTTGCATGCACAATTTAATATATTCAACTTCCAAAACAGCATAGAATCTGAAATACCACTACCATTCGAAATTGGTGCTATCACTATGCAGGGGCGTAGGAAGGTGTAAATTCAACACTACGCCAAAAATATGAAACCATTCTGTCAAAACTTCAATATCAAAACGCCTATTTTATGCTCGTAAAACGTTTTTGACATTTTTTGACCATTTTGACCTTAATAAGGTCAATGAAGGTCAAATCTCAAATCTAAAGTTAGATTTGAACTTATGATATCTTGTAGATGATTTTGAAAAAATGGTCAATTTGAAGCAAGTTGAAATAATACCTTTTTGACCGTGAAAATCTTTAATGAAAAGTCAAATTTGAACTTCTCAAAACTTCAGTCCAAACAGTATTTGTTAAGTTATTGGAATGTTTAAGAATGTGTTACAGACGCCAACCGCCGACCGCCAACCGCCACCCGCCGATCACCAACCGCCGTCAAAAAACGGAGACCACCCCAATATGTCACCACTTTCTGGTGGTGACATAATTAGAAACAGGGTAACTTTCCATTCTGATACACATCGCATCTAAAAACCTGTCTGTGCAAGAAGAGATGGCCATGGTGTTCCATAATGGTAAGTTTCAATAATTTACGAATTAAATTTTTCAAAAAGTGTTATTTATCTGTGGCTCAACTTAGAAATATAACAGAGGCACAAAAACCCTGCAAAAGAGTACTGTTGAAAAAATCGAGTATATTACTCAGTATATGGTATGATCTTTAGCCTAGTTATTAGTTAAGTGTGCTCGAGATTACTTTCACAATTTATGAATGAGAAAATATGACTAAAGAACATGGGAAATTTAATAAGCCTTCTTTTTCTCACTTTTCAACACTACGCACTGGCGTTTTGGCGTACATTGTTCCTACGCCACTGCTATGTATAGGGTGATAAATGCACGGGTACAGTACATGCAGTAACATTTAAACCACATCAGGCTTGACAGGAAAATCTATAAATAAGTAGGTAAGGATTGACGGTATATAACATTTAAAAATAAAAAAGCGAAGAACGTGCTTAGTATTCTTGTAATACTGCATTTAGACTGAATGATTAACTCTGGAAATCAGTGAAAAGCACAAGATCGACTTTCGATATCCACTAGTTTATACCTCCCGGGACCCGGATGCATATATTTCGTCACGCACCGAAAGTCAACACTGTACTTCTACTTAATTTGGCGCTATTCATTTTGGCGGATGTGCTGTTTCGAATTTGGCGGCAACTTAATTTGGCGGACTTGGTATATTACCATTACCCCCATGAATTTGGGGATGTTTTGCCTTTTTCTTAGTTTTGACATTTCGTGATAGCAAAACTCCCTCACAAATGTTAGCTTTTCGAAATCTTGTAGTTGGACAAAATGATGGACAATTTCAAGACCTAGATATAAATGCTGAATAATTGCCGATATGAAACTTGTTTCAAGTAATCAATCACTCTATTACATTGGGAAAAGTGTTTTGTAAGAGAAAACAAGAGAATTGGTAAGGAACATGCTGATGTAAGACCTGGTTTTCATCTTCAATTCATCAAAGAATCCAACTAAAAGAAAATGGTGGACAAAATTTCAAGAGCCAGATATAAATGCAGAAAAGGGGCACATAGAAGCATTGTTTCCAGTAATCAACCTCTTATTACATTGGTAAAAGTGTTTTGTCAAAGAAAACAAGAGAATAGGTAAGGAAACTGCTGACATAGTCCTGATTTTTACCTTCATCAAGGTATCCAACTACACAATTTGGAATATGGGCTCAGCTGTGGGTAAGGTTTGCCTTATCAAAAATTCAAAAAAGTCAAAAATTTAAAACAAGCAAACCGAACCCATATTTATGGGGGTAATTACCAAGTACTTGTGGTTCTCATTTACATAGTGCTTTTTACTGGGGAATTTGGCGGCTACTTAATTTTGGCTGACTTTAATAATTTAGCGGGTCCGCCAAATCAAAACGGTCGCCAAATTAAGTAGAAGTACAGTAAGTGAATCCTAGCGATGAATCCTTCCTCACCATGAAGACTTTTTAAGCCTAGGCCTTTATGGAATTTTTAATTTGATGAACCTGCTTAACTACGAATAGTACTAGACTTGCGTCAAACCCCTGGAATATCTACTTGTCTCACAAGGGGTTGTAGCTAGACTAAACTACGAAATAAGGCACATCGACTTTTGAAACAGAATTATTGCTACCGTCTGGTACTGTGAGGGTACTTGTGAGGCTAGTACACAAGTAGTTGAAGGTCCCTTTTAAAAAAAAACAAGCGTTAGTAAGAGGTAAGAGTCTAGCAGCACCCAGTTGAGGAAAATGCGTGTAGGAAAGAGTGAGTATACGTACAATGAGTTTTTCTTTTTTAATTTAAAATAGATTAGTAAAACAGCATCACAAATGATTTGATTCTGGAGTTCACATGAACTTGATTTTTTAGTGACACCCCATCAAGGTATATGAATTTTAGGACAACTTTTTAGGACATTTTTATAACGTTTTGATCAATGAACAATTACTAGGATCTAATATTTTTTAATATATGAAGCAATAAATGTATATAATATGAAGCACGGTAACTTACAAATGGACTTCAAAAACTCAACTATCAAACACAAATAATTAAAGATACAGTGGAAAAAGTCAAAAGGTTGGACAGAAATGGCAATGCTACGTACTGAGTTGGGGTACATGGGCGACAAATGAAAGACGAAACGACAACTGTCAAGAATCATAATATCATAATCACAATATATTTAACACCTGGATTTTCAATACTGAAAATATATATAGATGACCCTGAAGGAATGTCATTGTCTAATTTGGTCAACGTCTAGGAGCAGGTCATCTTTACAATTTTCAAGATTTTTTCACAGACAAACACTGTTTATTCGCAGACTCGTCTCTATTCCCTCTATCAGTAGCTTTATCAAGAAAAATATTATATAAAGATATGTATTTTCAGATGGGAGCAATGCGTTTTTTGCTGCGACTATCATAGTAATTTTGATAGGGGTGAGATTCTGGATAAACATAAATGATGGAGGCTTAAAAAGTCAACATGGAGATGAGATACAGAAAATTACGAACGAACATGCAATTGAGATCCAAAAGATAACAAACCACCATACAGAGGAGATCCAGAAGATGAAGAAGATGTTAGAAAAAATTGTTGATGAAAAAAATATTGATGAGCCAAAGAACAAGAGTTTAGCAATATACCATAAAGAGAAGCACGAACTTCATTTGGAAAATCCTGGTACAAAGGTCAATACAAGAATAGCATTTCCAGGAATATATAGTATTGATTGCATAGATGTGAATGAGTTTGATTTATTTCTCAAACCACCTTTTCCAGTTTGTTTGCATCCCGTTGAAGATGACAAGTTTATATCAGGTTCCATCAAGAATCGTGTCTATCACGAGATACAATCGGTAACAAATGTTCTTCGATTTCTTAAAGACAATCCAAAGTGGAACTTTATTGATATTGGGTGTAACATCGGTGCCTTTTCTATACCTGTTTTGAAAATGGGTCGTAAGGTTGTTGCCGTCGAGGCTTTGCAGAAGAACATAATGGTTTTCAAAAAGAGTATACAACTAGGCAACTGGCATGATAACGTTACACTAATTCATAATGCCGTATATGACAAACGAACGACTGTTACATTCAAGTTTAAAAAGGAGAATATAGCAGGAACACATATTGTGGAGAACGCTACTGCTAAAAACAGAGTGACTGATGAACTCGTTGAATCAATAATTATTGACGACCTTTTACATTATGTTAACTTCAAAGATGCGGTAATGAAAATGGACATTGAAGGTTCTGAACTTTATTCTCTGAAACGATCAAAACAATTCTTTGAGCAGTTGAATATACATTGTTTATTTATTGAGTTGCAGCAGCAGTGGTACACAAGTGCCATGATTAAGGAGTCACATGCATATCTAGGTAGTATGGGTTACAAACCCTATGATCATAAACTTAACTTATTACCACCCGAGTTTAATAATTGGCCAAGAGATATTATTTGGAAACTGCAAGGTTGATGAAATCATTAGGGTAAAAAAACAAATATACGCTTAAAGGCCCACTATACTTAATTCAGAAGAATAAAAGAATCATTGAAACATGTTACTCACACACTCACTCAAATATGACACAAAGTTTTATTTGCTTTAATATTTAACAAGAAAAAAATAACTCACATAGAAAAAAGCATTTGAAGTTCAGAGATCATTAGAAGTGCCATGCACATGTTAAATAAAGTGCATGTTTTAAATTGCTCTTGGTTTAGAAGATGGCGACACTTCTATAAAAATGAATGTATCATGTAATACAAACAACTTCGCCATCTTTCAATGACATTGATATAAACTTGATATATGAAAATTGACAGAACGAAATTATTGTAAGCGTTGTTGTGGTCCGTTTGAACTGTTGATGGTGTCAACTGAAAGATGAATTTCTTACAAATAAGTATAAATACATTGGACATACTATGAAATCCAAATGTAAGTCTTTATTTTCCTAAAAAACGTTCAAAATACGCAAAGTGGGCCTTTAAAGAATATAACCAAGAGGGACCAGGTTTTTTCAAAGGCCGACGCATTCAAGAAAATATACGATTAATTATTGACAGTATGGAACACTTGGAAATACATAACACTTGGGAAAAAATCACACTCATTGACGTTGAAAAATCGTTTGATGCCATCGCATGGGACTTCATACAAAAAACTCTCGGGTGTTTCTACTTCGGGGCAGATATACGATGTAAGTGGGTCCATGCATTCTTCAAAAATGCAGTCAGCACATTGATAAATAATGGTCACACATGCGAATACGTCCAAGTTTCAAGAGGAGTATGTCAAGTAGGCCCACTGAGCCCTTACCTATTCATACTATGCGCCGACGAAACATAAGCAGAGGCAGTACGACAAGACGTCCAAATACAAGGTATCAAAGCGGATGACACAGGAATAAAATATCACAATACGCTGATGACACTTCACTGTTACTTAGGTCAACAGAATCAGTGGAAACTCAATAAATTGATTCCAAAAATGTGGAGGCATTTCAGGTTTAAAAACAAATAACTACAACAAGCAGAACAAACATGTAGAGAGTTGAATACTTTTACAACAGTTAGTTAATTGGAATCACTATACTTTTATCAAATAGACAACTCATTGCAGACCTCAATTATCCAAAAACTAAAAGAGAAATAAAGACAAACCGTGAAACTAATGAACTGCTATGGAGCCACAAAAACGTGTTCACTTTATGTATGTGTTCATTACAGAGAGGAGATTTTATACACGAGTCAATGAAAATGTGATCCATCTCAAATCGTACAAAGAAAACTTAAACATCAAATGGATCGCAAAATATAAACGGAAGCTGATAATAAATTGGCTGAAGTAAGTTATAGAATATTAGTGGCGTAGCGTCATATACGCATAAAACGCCATAGCGTACTCTCAAAATTTAGAGATAAGTGGATTTTTAATATTGAAATGACCCACGTTTGATATCCTAAAGTTATGGCCTAACATTTTATTAATCCATTTTTTTCGGAGTCGAAATTTCGTATTTTAAAACGCCCCAGAACGCTTCACATGCAATTTATTTTCAAATTTTCTTGGGGGAAAGAACCCCCCCTCAAAGCTCGTTCGCTTCGCTCACTCGTGGCGTACACTCATAAAATAAAAATACCCACGCTACGCCACTGAATATATACCAGAAAAGTACATTATTATGATTGAACAGTTAGACCCCGCGGGGTCATGCAAAGATTTGGAAATAACATCTTTGTGGGATGGTTCAGCACACAGTGCACCGAGTCCAATGCTTAAATCATTAAACTAAATGGTGAGAATTTGTGCAAACAAAGATGGTACGCAATATGTCTGTCATCGCTAAAGCTCTACAGGGTTTCCCTCCTCTTAAATTGAATAGAGCAATCGAGATAATATGGAACAACTAACAAATCAAGATTAACTGGAAACCAATATTCCCTATACTTACATGGTGTAATAGTCACCGGTCTTCACCTAGTTACACTGACGATACGTCAAACCTATACACAGGTTTTACTGTATTCATGAATCTACATCCGAAGAGAAATTCAGTACATTCCACCTGAAACATGTGATGTGATTGTTGCAGTAAGTATGTGGCTGTCATTAGTTGAAGGAGGTTTCGAGGAGGTTACATTGATCTTGTGGTATAAAAAGTGGTCAACAAAGCATCAAAAATACAAAATTGAACTAAAACCAGTGTATATTAGGGAAAAAACTCACATATGGTTTGGCTACATGACCATGCAAAAATGTCTGAAAATATTGACTGGTTTATTTGTACAGTTGATATACTTTTGGGTTTATTTTTGAGACACCTTGTACAGGGCGTATCAAAAAAACGCAACAAGTAGTTATCTCGTAAAATCACAAAACTAGTGATGACTACATCAATTTCATTCAATGTACCATAAAGCCATGTCTCCCCTCTTTGTAATGATATGTCATTTGCTCACATGTGGTAATGGTTGGGTGAGAATGTGGGTCAAAATCGGCTTTGGGCCAAGTTTTAGATACTAAAAAAATCAGTGCAAGAGCTAAGTGCCAATGGAAGTTCCCTTGACTTGAATTGTTGCGACTTTTTCTTTTGGAACTATCTCAGGAGCATCTGTGCTCACAATTCCTCCACCAGATATTGCAAAACCTCGAGAAAGAACTGCCCATGGGCTACTTTTCTCTGCTTTAACCCTCAGACTCGGGGCTGAACCATACATGACGTGGACAGATGAGCGCATCTTTATGTGCAAGGGAGTGGTGGCAATTTGGAGGGGTATAGGATGTATTCTTGCAAAAGTATGAGTATGAACACTTTACTGTCTATGTCACACCTGTCACTCATTCTTCCAATAGCCCCTCTGCCCATTGTGCTGACTTTTGCAATGTTTAAAACTTGGATCCGAGCTGAATTATGAATGATTATTCGGCCAGAGATGACTCCCTGTGAATGAATGATATTCCATTGCAAAGAGGAGTAATTTGGCTTTTTGGTACATTGAATGGAGAGGATGCAGTCAGCATTGGTTTTATGGTTTTTTTTCAATATTGCATCGGGCTCCATACACTGACTTTTGCGATGTCTATAACTTGGTCCCAAGCTAATTTTGGCCCACTTTGCAAATGGAATGATAGCACGCCCAACCATGACCAAATATCAATGAATGATATATCATTGTAAAGAGGAGACACATAGCTTTGTTTGGTACGCACGGTATATGTCACAATTTATTTACCATCTACCCTTCCCTTGATTCGTAAATAGACAAAAGACAATCATTGGAGATGTATCAGAATTTACGCCAATTTAAGCATCTGTTGATCTGGGTGACCATTCAAGAGTATCAAAGGCAAAAATCATAAAGACAATATTTATGATCTAATGTAGTACACTCTTGTATTCCATACCTACTAAGGTTCTAGATAAATAAAGAGCGAGATATTGATATATAAGAATACACCTAGAACCTTACTAGGTATGGAATACATTACACCTGTTATGTACAGTCGGTTTTGGATACAGGGTTTATCCCAAAGGAAATATGTGTATATCTCGAGGGACCGCAGGGACCGAGGGATATACACATATTTCCCTTGGGATAAACCCTGTATCCAAAACCTCCCAGTACATAACCCTTATTTATACAGTGTATATACTATGCCCCGGATACAGTCTCGTTTCGTTCGGTGCATATTGTAATCATGAGACCTTATAGGGGTATTGAAAGTACTGAAAATATAGCTGAGCAAAAAGAACAAATGACAGAGGGTATTTACAAGGATAACAATCGGATAAAATCAACACGGTTTACAAAATCAAATATTTATTTACAACATGTAAAAATACATGCCTAAGGTAAGCCACAAACAATAAGAGATTGGAAATGCTAATAACGAGATCCAACCCCGGAGCGCCAGAGGGCCATGCCACGCTCTAACTTCCGTTATCGTAATACATCTAACATCGAGTATTTGATCCCAAACTACTACTATAGTGATAAAGACAAAGGCGTACCTCGTTGTTCTATACCTAATATACTTCCGTATATCAAACCTAGTACCAATATCCAATACTCAACAAAGCATGGTCCAAAATCCAAACATCAAACAAGAAGCCACAATCACACAGTCTTCATCGTATCCTGCCCTCTAGTCAACTGACTCAGCCTTGTACAACTCACACTTAAAAGTCAACTATACCAAAACCAGATTAACCAATAAGAACTCTCTATTTCAAATATTGTCATACGACAGACTAAAGTGTACTGTATGTATGTATATATTTATTGCCCTTTATATAAAGGAGATACATGTATACAAATTATGTAAATGTTAAATTGAAAATAATCACTATTTACAAACAAACAATATTGCTGTTGTTTTGACTGACGACGACGCCTAGCTACCGCGTAGACGCACGCCGCCGACCAAGATTGGCCTAGCACCTAATTGTAACGCAATTATAAAAAATGACTATATTTTACAAACATTCATTGTTTTGTTGTTGTTTTTTGTACTGACGACGACGCCTAGCTACCGCGTAGACGCACGCCGTAGGCCTAGATAGACCTGTTACCTAACACTCTTGAGATTAATAAAAATGACATTATGGATCTGCGTTTTCTATAAAAATTAAAAGGAGGACATAGCGTATCATCGTACCTTCCCCAAGGTCGGTACTGCAGTACTGTATGAAAGTATGAGATGCTTTCAATATCTTGTAAGATATTATATCCACTCTACTATACCTTGCATTTGGTGTTCATGAGCAACCCATTTGGCTTATTAGTAATGATTATGTATTTGTTTTATTTGCCTGTTCCTTATTAATGGTTTATCAGTTGAATGTTAGAAGTTACAAAGGCACTTTCAAAAATATACTAAACAATACGTGTGCAATTAGACAAACAAAGTATCTTATGCATTTCTAGGTGTTAGGTATAGTAGAGTGTATCTAGTTTTCAGCGACAGATATCAATCTAAATTCTATACCTTGTTCCAATAACAGGTCTCTATAATGCTGTTCTACATGTATTTACACGCCATTAGCATTGTTTGGAAGTTAAAAACATGAAAAGCCTTATCAAGCAACCGTTACAATATACATGTACTACGTCCCGGGCATTAAATAAACTCTTTCTCAACGAGAAAAACGCTACCACTAGCTGATAATGCCCCTCTCTTATAGTTCCCATGGCAATTAGCACATGATAGGGTATTGATAACATTTGCTCGATTATACAAAACAACAACGGTGAGAAGAGAAAGCAGAACAAGTACAACACCGACCGGGACAACAACTAACTCATTCGAGGGCGTCATTTCAGGTCTACACTGAAGCTGGTCCAAAGTGAGGCTCAATATTGTTTTGTTAATGTTTGACGTCGGATAGCCATGCACACATTTCAGCTTATTCTTTTCCAAAACAATGTCGGTCAACTGTAGCCATTTGTGGAATTCCTTCATCTTACAGTCACAGTTAAATGGATTGTATTCCATACCAACATGTAGGCTCTTACCTAATGTAACTTGACTCGAGTGAACAGTATCCAGCATTTCTCTCAGTTCTTTGTGTATGGAGGCAAACTGATTGTTTTCAATATGGAGGAACTCAAGTGACTGAAAACAGCGCACTTTAAAATCAGCCAGTTTGTTATTCTTAAGATGGAGGAGGTTTAAAGAACGCAAGGTGCAGAGGCTCTGCATGAATTCATCATCCAGTTCATAGAGTTCGTTATTATCCAAGTCAAGCTCCTGCAATTCTGATAAGTCACTGTTGTAGAATATATCCATTAACTTCATAAGGTGATATTTCGAATCAACCAAATCCATGAAGGCGTCACTGAGGTCTAAGCGCTCCAGAAGGTTCAAATTTGAGAAAACACGGACATGATTCTCATTACGCCAGTCATTTTTCTCGAGGATGAGCACCTTCAAATTGGGCATACAATGAAATGCCTGGTCAGAAATTGTTTTAATATGGTTCTGAGATAAATCCAGGACACTTAAGTGTTTCAGTTGTCGATTCCCACTTCCCGTACATTCACCAACAATGTTATCGGGGAGATGGGAGATATTGTTCCCAGTGAAGATAACATCTGTGGTGGTAAGGGGAATATACTGCAGCGGAAATGTGTTCGTATAACCAGTGTCAATGCAATGTGTAACAAGATTATCACACTGCTGGCATTTCCGAAGATTTCCAAGACATTTTAGACCATTGGTTTTATGCATCAATGTTAGTAGTAACATGCTGAACATGCAGACATACATGATGCTGTGGCAGTACATTTCCATCATGTTATACAATCTTAGATTCTTGTTTCGATCCGGTTTTCAGAGCTGCACAAAGTGGAATGTGGCGTACATCTACACTAGTATGTATTTCTCTCGATATGCTATCAGAGTTACAGAGGTAAAGGATGCGCAACTAACGGATGAAAGCTTCTCCCATCCAATATAATCCTTTTAATTTTAGTTTTGAGCCTTTTCAGTGTGGGCCTCCTTCTTATTTGATTTTGAACTTTTCTGCGGAGTCCAACATTAAACACAACATTCATATCACGTTATGTGTAAACAATGCAATGAAAAGAACCTCAAAACAAACTCCTTGTATCAAGCATTCAATAATGACCAGAGGACATGACGACCTGTTTAGTGAAATCATATTGGAATAGAGAAGTTAACAGATGCATACCTTCTCAGTCAACAGACTTTACTTATCCTTTCACAAAGTTTTATACACAAGTATGTATGTTGTATTGAACCTCGAACATACCAACCATGCAACAGTACTACAAAATACAATATTATAATCGTGAAATGAAGATAATCCATTTTTTCGAAAATCGTTTGTGCCTCCGAGAACTGCATGTTATCATTTTGTATTTACGTAAGGCAGCAGACATCTTAAAACCAAAAACATGTGACAAACATTGATCCAAAATATTGAATTCATTAGGGAAAGTATTTCGAACACTTCAAGAATCTACACGAACTTCATTAGTCTCAAATATGTCGCGTTGTGGTGACTACAATGACACAATAATGAATTAAAAATCTGATCTCCGACTGAAATAAAACCGAATGTTTATAGACAACGAAAATTTATAGATTCAAAGGTAAAATGTTACCTATTTAAGAAATATGAACCGAACAGCAGGGGTAATATTGTCGAATACACCCCGCAAGGCTGGGCACAAACGTTTTCTGTATTAATTAGGACTCTATCTATCTGGAAATCCAGTGGTGTTGAGTAATTAAACCAAATCAACTTCATCTATACATTTCTCACTTTTTAGACATATCAAGATGATCCCTTTAGCTTGTCAAACTTTTCGCAGTAGAATTTGCTGTATGAAGAATAAATATATGAAAAAATCATGAAATTAATGCCGGTCATTGCTGCCTTAGTTTAAATAAGTTGCAATACGTAATTTAAAAAAAGTAATCGAAAATAATTAAAATTTGATCGGAGAGAGGATGTCTCTTTTAAGAAGCGAAGTCGAACGAATGTAAAGAGTAACTCGTAATACATTTTGGGAGGCGATCCAAATGAAATTAATTGCATTGATATAATCATGGGCTTTCAATTAGAGTTGAAAGTTGAAAGCCCATCCCCTAACTTAAAGTAAAACATGTATTTATCTACAATACTAGCTAACATTATGGTTAGAAGATGATGCAAATGACACTATTTATTTACAATATGGCCTTGATGATTTCTTTGTCATTTGTGACCTTTAACTTATACATCGTCCACATTCAAATCATTTTTCCTTACTTTAGGAACAAGAATTTCTGTCATTTTTTATTCAGTAATCTTATCCCCCTCATTTTGTCCGATGCATGGCCGTCTTCCTCTAGCTTCTAGTCTAATCTAGAATTGTAGATGAGAGGTATGCCGAGCACCAAACACCTTTTGCGAAATGTAATATTAATTTCAAATTACATTTAAAGATGGCAGCCTCTAAAACCCTTGAGAGGAGGTTTGGTAAACCAGAAGGTGTCGAGGGATCATCAAATCCTAGCCTAATTCTATAGGCCCGGATGCATAACGTGTCAGCACCCTAATGGGAGGAGGGTTTCAAAAATGCATACAAAAAATACCCGACCAATCATTATTCATAAGGGATAATCCACTTAGGTAGATAATCCACACAGGTGATTTGTTTGCAAATCAAATTCATAAGAATCCTACAAAACCAGTAATTTTAACAAAACATTTTCCCATCGATTAGATACATTATAGTTAACATTACAGATATTTGTATTTGGGCATGATCTCTTATTAAAATATTCAGAAAGCCAGTATTGAAAGGGTTAAAACTAATGTCAACAGACCAATACACCTCATATAGGTGTTACAACTATTGATTGTACTCCCTATTAGGTTATGTTAGGGTGTTGCTTAGAATATATTTTTGACTGATGGCATAACCTTCGTCTCCTATACTTCAATAAAATTAAAGCACAAAAATAAAAATGTTTTGCTAAAAAGTACTTTTCGAATATTTAGAAAGATTATAAAAATTTGTTATGATTACACATGTGGGAGTATGTACAAGTACTGGAATATCCTCTACCTGATAGATGGAGTAAAATGGCGACCAATTCAAAACACGAAGTATTGTGTATGTCCTGGATTTTACGAAATTTACACTCGAAAACGATTTAGGATTACAATTACACCATGCCTATCGTTCTAAGAAGTATCGAACCCGTCTATCTTAGTAAGGCACCTCTCAATAGCTCTGTGAGCTTCGATTTGGGAGCGGTAACAAATAATACACTTTCGGGAACGATTCTGCAGCTTTCATCTTTGCTTGACCAGGCCGATGGTTTGTTCTCTGAGCTTGGTAAAGAATGCAGACAAGTGTACGACAGAGCCGAAAATCTAAAGACAAGAATACACGATGTTGGACAGAAGGTTTCAGCACTGGACTTTCGCACAGTCAAAATCCGTAAGTTGATTTTAAATTTTTTTGGGGACTGATCATTCTCAAATCAAGAGAAATTAACATTGAGAAATGAATGACACCTTATTATTGTATTAACATGCAACTACAGTGTAATGTCAAAAGAGACAAAAGCGTGATAAAGCTACTTTCCTGCTTTAGTATTTTCAAGAAGATATACATTAAGCAGGAGAAATAACTAGAAACGATAGAATACACATCGCAACTCAGAATTCCATTTATAGAAACATTTGGCGAATTTAGTGAGACTGTCTGTTTATGCAAAACTGCACTGATGGATATCTGTGTCAACGATAAGCCAATTTAAAGTTATTCCCTAAATTATCTCCTTTTGTATCAGAACCGAGGCATTCTGGGATATATGTCACCTCTTTTGTATATGATAACCCGAAGCAATGCAATACAGAGCGATTGACAATGGAAAATATATGACAGTGGAGAGGGTGTCTGTCTCATTGCAAATGAAATCATAGATACAATTGAACTATTGAAAAACATTTGTGGTATCAGCTCCAAGTTTTTATGTCACCACCAGAAAGCGGTGACATTGTCATTCAGTATTACAGTCTCCAACTTTTTTGTGAATGGTGATTGATGTTCAGTATCTGTAACAAATGGCGGGTTGTGACATTATACATGTTTATGTCTTGGATATTTTTATTATTTGTTCACTGCCATTTATTGAAGGAGTCCTGGTATTGTCTTGTTAAATCTTTTCGCAAGTATTGTTGAAAGTCATCATAGATTTCCTTGATAACTTATATGAGTCTAACAGAGTTAAAAATAAACCTCACTTGATAAAACAAATCAAATTCAATTTCCTAGATCATAAGTCAAGGTACTTGCCAATTTAGAAAATTACATACATATTGATCATATCTTGAAGTATCACAATGTAGGAAAGACAAGAAATCGAACAGAATATAAACACGATATTAGTTTTTTACATTTTAATATTAAGTAAAAATTAACAAATTCATTTGTACTTAAAGAGAATAATAAAGAATGAGGGTGATCGCAATTTTTTACCTGAGAGAGATTAACTTAGATTACAAGCAGTCTTGGTGTTAATGTCACAACCGAGGCCCTAAGGCTAATGAACATTGGCCTTAACAGTGAATCTCACTGCAAATCTTAATTAATGTCAGTTTGTCTAAAAAAATACAACTTGTCAATATTAAAGTTGAACTTTTAGCCACAGGGCCTCTGGGCAGTTGGCTACAAGATATGATCACATAAATCAGTTTAGTTCTGCTCGAGACATTGGTTCTCTCAATCAATATTTCATCAATTTTTAATTTCCGGATCCTTACTGCTTATTCGTAGATGGATACTGGTTACGGCCAGTCTATTACTTTAATCTTATATTCTTTGTAATTTCCAAGGATAATCAGTTAGCTCAATTTCTCTATCACTTTGAAAAAGTTCTTTCAGTAATTTTGGTACAATCATGTACTATTCATTGCTTAAATATAAGAAATGGCTTATCACTCTATCTTTCTTAAAATATAATCTGGCAAAGGAACTTGCCACAACTTGATATCAGGAAGTTCATCTCTGCCTTCCTTAATGTTTAACCTTATATGGTAGTGGATTAACCCCAAATTATCCTTCATTGTTCATATCAAAAATTAAATTGATTGAAATAAATATTGTCAACTAAAACACTATATTATACTATACTACACTACACTTGGTGTTGGATGGGTAGAGAGGTACATTGAACCTCTTTTAACATTCCAGATTCCAATTTTTTCTACCACTGCCTACCTTAAGGATAAGCAGGAAGGGGCCATATTCCATGTTGTCTCAGAGCACATTGACTTATTAGTTGTAACATGTAACTTGACCATTTGCAGACTTGTAACTGCTGTTTATTTATGGGGATTTCCTGAAACCTAACTTGTTACAGCAACACTTGAGACCAGAATAATTTGTTTATATTTGGTCCTAGCCTAATATCAATAACAGAATGTTGTATGCATTTAAACCAAATTTTGTACTTATTGACCAAATTTTAAGATTCTTGCTGGGTCTTTGGTGACATTTGCCCTGTTTTGTCTCCTGAATCTTATCTTATGTCTTTGTTTAATAAGTGTCAAAGATATTGATCCCAGACCCCATGGTCTTGATGGTTCAGATTTTCTCTGTTTTTTCAAAGAGTTAATTTCTTGTGTTTAACCACAGGGCAGGTTATTTCAAGCATTCTTCAACTCAATGTTGAAATCTGTATATGAAATGAAACAGTGGCATATAGGGAATGGAATTTATAAATAAGTGTGACCTTTAATGATTTTCTCCAAGCTAGGATTTGCCTCTTGAGTTTGTACCAATTTCGAAGAACGTTTAGAAGGGTTTGTCAAAAGTCTTGTATCAATTCTCTGGATCCCCAGCACTTCCTAAACCTTGTATTAATATTAGGTAATTTTTGAGAGAGATATGTAGCATTATACAAGGGGTTGGTGTAACTTTAAGGAAGCGTGTTATTGTAGACAATTTCAGGAATTCTGGTTCAGAATTATATTTACACCTGTCCCATGGCAAAATACCTGGTATATAGTAACAGTGCCTAATAAGCCAGATTTCTGCTGTTGGCAGAATTTGAACAAGACATATCCCTAAAATAGAAACAACAGACTTGTTTGGATTCACTTCTATTTTTTAATACACTCGGTCACCATATTTAGGGAAGTATTGCTAGGATTTTCAAAAATAATTTTTTTAAATTTGATCATAGGTCCTCAGCCCCTTTCTACTTTCTGTTCACCCCATCTGTAGTTTTCATGAGCACTTACTATAATTCAGGGTTGTTTTGTTAGAAAACTTTTCAATTTAGCAAGATCTTCATCGTTTTTCCGAAATAATTTTGTGATACCTGATAACTGTTCCCTCACCTCTTTCTCTACTTTGAATTCACCCCATGGTTTTTCCACCACAACACCACCAGATATTTTGATTTGGTGAAGCTTTTTTGTTTTTTTGACAGCTATTAATCTTATATGATGTGTAAATGGCTACCACCTATGAAGAAGTTGCTACTAAACATGATGAATTTCACACTGAGGAACATATTAAGATAAAGAAGGTGTGCAAAAGCCCATTTATGAAGACAATATGGGTTCTGTGGAAGATTCAAATTCCTTCATGTAATTTATGTCCATTTGGCTGTTTGTACTTACTTCTGGCCCGTTGGCATTTATTTTCTTTTTTTTCAAAATCAATTCAATACTTGACATATTAAATGTTATTTTTTCTTTGATACCCACTTATTAGATCATGGTCTTATATGAGGAGTTAACAGGTTATTATGTAATCAGTTGCACCAAGTATTTGTCCCTTGTTCCAGCTATTGAGAATGGGAGAGGTGCAACAGATATATTCGCTGCAAGATAAGTACCATCAATGGCCCTTTGTTTTACCAGGTGGAAAGCCACATAGTTAACTGCACATTTGTCTTCTGGGCATGTGTAGTGTTCTAGAGTCCAGACAGGTATATGGGATATGGTTAGGTTCAGAGGAAGGCCATGTAATCTCTCTGTGGAGATATATTTTATTTTACAAATTGCCAGTCTGACAGTCTGCAGTGTTTCATCTGTCTTTTAGAATTGATAACCAGAATGTTTGAATAACAGACTCTGATGGTGTTCTACTCATTGCAGATTTTCTTTCAATGTAGTCTGAGTGTACTCATTTCAGATTTCCTTTCAATGTAGTCTGAGTGTACTCATTTCAGATTTCCTTTCAATGTAGTCCGAGTGTACTCATTTCAGATTTCCTTTCAATGTAGTCTGAGTGTACTCATTTCAGATTTCCTTTCAATATAGTCCGAGTGTACTCATTGCAGATTTCCTTTCAATGTATTCCGAGTCTACTCATTTCAGATTTCCTTTCAATGTAGTTGAGTCATACACAGTTTTCAGTCTGAAATAATTTTGGTCTTCATAGTCAGATATATTTTTTGTTTTCTTTAACAGTTGGATTTGTTATCCTTTCCAGCAGTATGATTTCGCTTCTTAAAAGAGAGCTTTATCAGCATATTGGCAAGGCTTTCTTTCTTCGGGTTTGTATTGTTTCTAACACATCCAAAATTACATTGGGCAAAGTGTTCTCGAGGAAGCTTTTTAAAGAGGTACAAAATTCTAGTTTTCACAACCCTGACTAAAGTTAGTCAATTTTTCATTACTTCTCATTGGAAATTGGTTTTCAGATTGCAAGCCTATTTCAGGATCACAGGTAGGTGCAATGGCTACTCACTTTAATGCTGGAAAGATCATATGAACTTAAATTCAATTGATCCCCTGTAGTTGTAAATGTAATTTCAGAATAACATTTCAAAATCCATCTTGTAAAGCAGACAATATCACATTTCAACATACAGTACTGAGTTAAGTTTACCTGGCTGAAATACACGTATGCTCATGTGAATTCAATTTGTTCATTTGTACCACCTGTAAAAGCTTGTTGATGAAATCAATCACCAGATAGATTATCACACCAGGTAGTCTGTTAAACTCTACCTGGAAAATATCCTTGGCAAAAGCTTGACTTTTGTCTGCACTCTTACTTTGAATTGTAGATTTGAGGTTAAAAGGTGCTGCAGTAGTTCACAGTTACAGTCGAAATGTTGAGACATGCGCAGACCTCTATTTAGTGATATTTTCATTTCAAATATGGCGGCCAATCCGATGTCTGACGGCCCTTACAAAGAATCTAGGCAGTTTGCATTTTTACCTCCTGTGAAATAACAAGTGGAATTTAGTAGTTGTTTTGTGTTTTATTATCATTCTGCATCATAATCCTATGTGATGTGGTGTCGAAATGTCAGCAGAAATACATATCCATACGATAATCGAGTGAATCAGATAACAGATTTTTCGAAAACCCGTCTCGTGCTAAGAGTGTAAAAACTTGTATTAACATGCTCAAAAGTGCCAATGTGCACATCAATGTCAAGCTAAATCAATGTTGTGTCTAAAACAGGTACC